GGAAGGTGGCTCTGGCTTTGCAATCAACAATCATAAGAAAGGCTCCGCTACCAATCCAAAGCATAATGATGCAATCATAAGGCAAGCTCCACTACCATTCCACAGCATATTTAGTCTCACAGAACGAAATTTGAGGAGTGCTGCAAGGCCATCGCTTTGCCTCAAGGGTTCCGCAAATAATCAGGGAAGCTTTGGGTCCTGATTAAAAGGGTGAGGCTTTGCTGAGCGGGCCTATGTGTCCTATTTATGCTGTTACATCATAGAAGTATATATGTATATATACTGATATGTATAATGTTTAAAACATGCCCATGCAATGATATGTTAACCGCTGGCCTTATGCCTTGTTTCCTTCTTATCCAGCTCATCCCAATCGAAGAATTGGGAGGTGGGCTTCTCGGCCTCCCTTCTCTCATGCCGCCTGGCTTTCTCAGACTTTGTCATTTCTTTTCTCATTGCCCTCATGAACTGAGAAAACATCTTACTTCTCATCCACTGCATTTCGCGGATGATGCTTCGAAGCCGGGCCAGCAGCTCATGTCTGATGCAGCCTTTCACGTTGCCTGTCTCATGTGCCCATGTGCTGTTGCTGCTTGTCTCATGAGCCCATGTGGTCTTGCCTGCCTTGGCTCTTCTGACGGCCTTCTTTTTTCTCATGCTCACGGTGCTCTTCAGCGGCCTCATGACATGGGGGACATGCGGCCTCACCCGCCGCGATTGCGGCCTCACGTCCTCCTCTGTCTCATGCGAGGAACGAACCATGTCCGCCATGCGGTCAAACTCATCGGCCCAGCAAAGCCTCATGAGGTAATCAAATATTCTAGTATTAATACTAAGACTAATACCAATACTAATACCAATACTAATACTAATACTAGTACTAATACGAATAGCAATACAAATACCAATAACAAATACTAGTTCTAGTACTAATACTGAGATTCATACCAATAATTACGAATGCCAACATCAAAACGAATACGAGTACTAATCAAACACCAATAAAACGATACTAAACTAATGTTTAGAGGTTCTTAATGAACCAGGTAGTCAAGATCCCATTTAAAAAAAGCGCTTGGAACATACTTATGCTAATCCAATCCTGAAACCTGCCCACCACTGCCATGTCCTCAAGACTGTATGGCTCGATGTCATCAAGGGCCTTCCAGTCAAAGTAGGGGTCCCATGCATCGTCCCATGCTTCCTCATGACTGGGCTCCTTGCCATTACTTTCTTAACCCTCATTAACACAAAACAAATTATTTATTGCTGAATTATTAAATTTATTTTCACCGCCCACTCCTGCCATTGCTCTTGCTCATGCTGTAGGCACTCATACCGATTCTTGCAGCAGAGCTCAAGCTGCTTATGCAGCCGGATGGTCCACACCATGGCGGGCTCACGGCGTCTCAGGTGGGGCTTATGGGTCATGGGCTTAACCTTTCACAAAACTCAAAAACAATGCTCATGATGCTGCCTGCACTGAAGCTCTCTCTCATGGCACCGAGAGATCAGATGCTGACTTCTCAGCAAACTCATGCCCATCAGGGTTTAAGGTTTAGGGTTTTTGGGTTCAGGGTTTAGTAAAAAGAGTCTACAATAAACTCCTGAACCCAACCCTAAACAAAACCTTAATACACTATACCCCAAACTAAACCTCAAAACCTAACCCTAAACTCCAAACCTAATCCTAAACTCGAAATTCAACGATCCTAACCCAAAGCTTAAACCAAACCCTGAACTAATCCCTAAACCCAACCCTAAACTCAACCCTAAACTCAATTCTAAACTCAACGTTAAACGGCACCTTAAACCAAAACTTAAACCAAACCTTAAACTTAAAACGAACCCTAGACCAAACCCCAACTAAACCCTAAACCAAGCCCTAAACCAAGACCTAAACGAAACCTTAAACTAACCTTTAAGGTTTAGGGTTTTAGGGTTTAGGGCTAAGTTAAACGGGTTTAAGTAAGGTTTAAGGTGGAGGGTTTCGGGTGTAGTTAAAGGGTTTAGGGATAAGGGCAGTATGGGGTTTTGAGTTTTTACATTAAGCACTCATCTCCTCATGGGCTCACAGGACGAAAAAGCCCATCTTCTCATGGGCTGAAGAGCCTGGGGGCCACTGATGCCCATCAGGGTTTAAGGTTTAGGCTTTTAGGGTTCAGGGTTTAGTTAAAAGGGTTTAAGGTTTAGGGTTTTAGGGTTTAGGGTCAAGTTAAAAGGGTTTAAGTAAGGTTTAAGGTGGAGGGTTTCGGGTGTAGTTAAAGGGTTTAGGGGTAAGGGCAGTATGGGGTTTTGAGTTTTTACATTAAGCACTCATCTCCTCATGATCTCATAGAACGAAAAAGCCCATCTTCTCATGGGCTGAAGAGCCTGGGGGCCACTGATGCCCATGAGGGTTTAAGGTTTAGGCTTTTAGGGTTCAGGGTTTAGTTAAAAGGGTTTAAGGTTTAGGGTTTTAGGTTTTAGGGTCAAGTTAAAAGGGTTTAAGTAAGGTTTAAGGTGGAGGGTTTCGGGTGTAGTTAAAGGGTTTAGGGATAAGGGCAGTATGAGGTTTTGAGTAATTATGTACATTAAGCACTGGCCCCACCCTCCCCATGTGCTTTGCTGCTCTCATGCGAAGCTCAGAATCAGCCATCCCCTCGTCGCACCCATGAAAAATGCCATGCTGCTTCCTGACTTACATACCTACTCATGCTCTCACACCACACCCTGGCGCTATGCGAACCCGAACCTAAACCTAGAACCTAAACCTATGAAGTACTTAATGCAGCTCATGGCTGGCGTCATGGGTGCTGTGAAAAGGGCCCATCTCCTCATGGGCTCATAGGACGGAAAAAGCCCATCTCCTCATGGGCTGAAGAGCCTAGGGGCCACTCATGCCCATCAGGGTTTAAGGTTTAGGGTTTTAGGGTTCAGGGTTTAGTTAAAAGGGTTTAAGGTTTAGGGTTTTAGGGTTCAGGTTCAAGTTAAAAGGGTTTAAGTAAGGTTTAAGGTGGAGGGTTTCGGGTGTAGTTAAAGGGTCTAGGGATAAGGGCCTCATGGCCTCATGGCTCTCATAGGCCTCAAGCCTCAAGCTCATGCCGGCAATGGCATGAAATGCCTGGCAAACTCTCCCATGAGAGCCTTCGGCTCAGGAGCCTCATTCTCCACCCATCGGTGGAGGGAACGGACACTGCGTTCGCCCATGCCGGTGCTCATCTTCTTCATCCAATGGAAGCCTCGGCTCATGCATATTAAAAAAAACAAAACTATAACTACTAATTAATTACTAATTAACTCAAACTAAATAAAATAAGATTGAAAACAACTTAGTTCGCCCAGCTGCCCCTCATGTCCTGCCTCATCTGGTCCCATGTGGCCAGCTGGAAGATCTCACTCCTGACAGCTCATGGGGGTGGGGTTAATGAGCTTGGACTTATGGGGCTTTGGCCCTTATTATGCTCAACTAAATAATTATGCTTGCTCTCCTCATGGCCGACAGACAGTTCTCATGAACCTCAGTGAGGATCATGTGCTTGTCGCTCACCTCATCGTTCCGTGGATCGTAGAGCCTCATATGCTACTCAAACCAAATGAAAAATAAAATTTACCCTCATTTACTATTTACTAACTAATATAAATAGTTAGTAAATAGTACATTACTGCAGCATCCACACTCATCGCTGTCATGGGCCCATGTCCTGAAGAGGCTCATGTTGACCTCAGGGGCTAGGGTTTACTTATGGTTTGGGGTTTGGGGTTTAGGGTTTAGGGTTTAGGGTTTCGGCATGGGCCTGAATCCAGCTGATGCTGCAAATGATGGCCCAATGGTTGCCCATTTGCGGATGGCTCATGCAGATGTCATACTCCTCAGCTGCACCCTAAACTCTAATCCCTAATTCTAAACACTAACTAATGAAATAAAACCCCCAACCCTCATGCCAGGCGAGCAGCATACAACATCCAAGTATGCATCAGCTCATCTCTGATCCATTGCTCGCAGCGCCATGCCCTCATGTTGGGGATAATTACTAATTACTAAGTAATTAGTAATTATTTACTAGTAATACTAACTAATTAGTGTTTCTTATACTATTACTAATTACTCACAAGCCCAGCCACTTCCATTCCACCAGCACCCATGATCTGCATGACGTGAGGCGGGTGCTCACGTGGCGAATGCGATCTCTCATCGCCCCATGGACTTCATCCTCGGTTGCAGGGCTGTTCATTACCCATGTGGCCCATGTGAACTCCTCAAAACCTCATTAACTACTTAATTACTTAATCTCAAAGAACACCGCAATGCTGAATTCTCAGGCTCATGACTGCTCGCCGCTCCATGTTGTGCAGCAGCCCATACACCTGCTGCAGCGCGCTCATCACCTGGCTCATCCTCGGCTCCAATTGAATTGCTACTGTATTACCTCATTAGCTAATCACCAATCCTAAGTATTTCCTCACAATTTAACAATTTACCACTCATAGCCCATGCTCTGGTCGCTCATCGGGTTGCCCATGTTCTGCCCGCCCATCGGGTTGCCCATGTTCTGCCCGCCCATCGGATTGCTCATGTTCTGGCCGCCCATCGGGTTGCCCATGTTCTGGCCGCTCATCTGGTTGCTTCCCGTGGAGCTCATGGCTCTGCTGATGGGCACAGGGAGGAGCTAATGCACCTAATGCTTTGAGGCTTATGGCAGCTCATGGCCGGCCACTTTCGAACCCATGCACACCCTGAACCTTTCAACGCCCTCAACTTACACTGCTCAAATTACTAATTAACTAATTAGTTGCTTAAAGCTTAATTAGACCCTTAACCCTAAACACCCTAAGCCCTAAGCTCTAAACCCAAAACCCTAAACCCCAAATGCCGTAAGCCCCAGACCCTAAACGCCCTAAGCCCTGAACCCATAGAGACCCTAAAAATGAGGGTAATAAGTTACTTTAAAGGGAACTATTGGGTTCTATAATAAATTACTTTAAAGGGAACTATAGGGTTCTATAGGTTCCTTTAAAGGGAACTCTAGGGTTCTATAAGTTCCTTTAAAGGGAACTAACTATGGGGTTCTATAAGTTCCTTTTAAAGGGAACTAACTATGGGGTTCTATAAGTTCCTTTAAAGGGAACTAACTATGGGGTTCTATAAGTTTATTTAGGGTTTAGGGCTTATAGGTTTTCGGGTTTGGGGCTTGGGGTTCGGAGCTCGGGTATTTTGGGACTACTACTATACTACTACTGTACTACTACTGTACTACTACTGTACTAATGTACTACCACTCCACTAATACTGTGCTAATTACTAATTACTGTACTAATACTGTACTAATTACCAATGTACTAGTACCAGCCA